GCGTGTCTTTGAGGCTACTGGTTTATGTGAAGGAAGCCTTTGAGGAAAAGCCTTCGGGGCCTGGAAGGCATCATTTGACTTTCAGGGCAGTTCCAGTTCCAAAAGCGGCAATAATCAAGCCGTTCCAAGCCGCGCCACTTTTGGCAGGTCCAAAAACCCGAGACACGTGGGCCCGCCGCCGCTTTTTGGAGCTCCAAAAAAGTTAGAGAAAACAAAAAGAAAAGAAGAAAAAATAACGAGACACGCAAAGCCCGCGACACGCGACAAAGCCCGCCAGGTTGATGTAGAAGAGCCTCCGCGGCGCCTCCAGGAACCGAAATAAAGGGCTTCGGTGTTCTTTCTGGTTTCCCTCACGAAACAGAGATTGCACTGCTTTACAGAGTTGTTACACTCCCACCAGCTAACATGGAAGTGCACAGACCCCTGTAGAAAGATGACTTTCCTCTTGGTTAGCTCGCCTTTTTGCACTTCCATGTTAGTTGGTGGGAGGGTTGCCCAATAAAAAACCACCAAAAAAAGAGGGGTGCTCTCAAAAAGACACACCCATGTGAAGGTTGAAACAATGCAACAAGACCTCAACCTCTGAAAACAAAAAGGATGAAGTGGATGTAGACCACGAGAATTCAGGAGCCTTCTCCGGGTTTGCAAGGGTCCAAATCTCATCCAATGCCCGGCTCCATCTTCATTTTCATCCGCGTAGGAATTCACTGCGCCCAAAGGCCTGGGCCAGAGGCATCTGGATCATTCCTTTGGTTCCATTCGGGTACCCCCTTTTTCCATGCTTTCAAGGGGGAAAACCAAAAGGACAACCATGAAACATGTCGGGCGGTCTTTTGAAGGCACGCCCTTCTTTTTTCAACGACGCCAACGGCCGCAATCAAAACGTGCGGCCTATCTGGATCTGAGCGGTCGAAACATTTGAGGAATGGGCATGGGTCCCTAAGGAATCATGGCCAACATGCATTGTCCCCAACTGTGCAACAGCTGGAAAATGAATATTCACGGTTGACCACACCAAGCTCAACAGCCCTTTCAATTTAAGGGTTGACCATCGGGCGTGTCCTTTTTGCAGAACATGTTACCCTGAGCGTGCGGTGTTTCATGACATAAGCATCTGGAGCTAGTAATGGAAGGGTGTGCATCCGCATCTGCCTCTGCATCTGCATATGCCTCTGCATCTGCATCTGCCAACAATGATGAACATACTAGCCCCATTGGGGAGTGGTTCCTTTTGTTTTGTCTTCTCAGGGTGTTTCATATGTTTCCAAACACAAACGTCTGTATGTTTGTTTGTTTTTGATGTGGTTAACTAGTTGTTTGTTACATACTATGTGTTGCATGTCCCATGTCAGGCCTGCTTGCAAGAGGAAACAGTGTTCAAGCGCGCTTGTGTAATTCGCATCAAACCCTTTAAATGTCAACGGAATTGCAAAACAGAAATCTATTGGTAGGATGAAATACAAAAAATATACTTGAGTTCCAATTGAAAACAAAGACTTAAGTTCCAATTGAAAATAGAAAATGTTATTGGATTCGGTCCCTAATAAATCATTTTCAATATATAATTTGAAGCTGACTGGAATAGGAACTATAAGGAAAGAAATCAAATGTCCCAAAATCGTGTTTTTGCTAGCCCCCAGCACTACCGGTAAAAAGCAATGTGTTTTGTAGCATGTGCTCGTACTAAATTCACATCTCCTCCAACGACCACTCTCTACGATTCAATTTGACATTGAATAACATATGGGGCTCAACAAGGACTTTGCCCCTGCTGGATTTGTTATCTTAAATTTAGAATTTAGAATTCCTTTCCTGACAGAACTTTAGAATTCGATTGGAGTTAAAATAGTACTTAACAAAGCAAGAATCCAATCAATGTCTATTTGGGATTAGAACTTTAAATTAGAACTTAACTGGAACATAGAATTTGCACAGGAATGCTTTCCAATAGAATGTCTTTACAAATCAGTTGACATTTAAACACAATCTATTCGAACATGTCAAGGAAAACCAAAAGGAAAACCACCATTTCTTGGGGGGGGGGGGGCCTAAAAAGACACACTCATAAACATCCCTGGCTTTTATGTCACAATTGCCCCCACCTGCATGGCAAAGTCAAGCCTCAGCACGGAGCAACGGTCGAACGTGTCATGGCGACGAGCCGTTGAGGGGCTCATGTCCAACCCCAGGTCAGGGCTGCCGCGACCCTCACTGTCAGGGATTGACCGAAGTGGGGCATCACTTTGACGTGTTGACGACCAACCCCAAAGGGGGCAAGACAGACCCTGGCGGGGAACCGCCCCCGAGGATGTAGATGAAAAGTCCCGAGTTGCTCCGGGAAAGACCTGTTTCAGGTCAGCTCTTTCCAGGCCAGTGAATTCATCCAGAGTCCTGCAAGACTCACTTCAAGAAATTGGAGACAGGCGACAAGTGGTAAATACAAGGGAAATGCGGGGAGATGAGAGTTTGGATCACACTGGTATGAATGAAATCCAAAGATCCCACCTCAGTTGGCATATAGCAAGGTAAGTTGGCCACAAAAAGGTCCAAAGGTTAAACTTACCACCCAACATGGTCTTCCCAAAAAGCTCAAAGTCCAGGACTTCGGGGAGCGAGAGCTTCCGACTTAAAACCGGACGACAGCTTCCGTTTTGAGCGGCTGGGGCCACCCGCGGCACCAGCGCCAGCACAGCCTGCAGAGTGGATGGGACCACTCCACAGATGACCCCCCCACCTCTTCGCATGGAACCCTCCCTTAAAATGATCTTCCAGGACCCCCGCAGTTCCATGTTGATCGGTGCAACCGCCCCACCATTTGCACTCCCCTTTTGGAGAGCCCGGGTGAATTTGTTGGGGAGTAAACCCATCAATGCGGAGGAAACTCGCAAGAGACACTCCCATTCCCTTTTCAGCTTGTAGCATATAAATGTCCAACCATAGCATGCAGCAGGACAAAATGCCCTGCCGAGAAACAAGACACTTTGGTGTCAAGGAAACCGAGCACATGCAACTCGCCGACTTGTGAAATGTGCGGTGCACGAACAAGACTGGAAATTTGTTTAAAAGCAGGGGTGGTCCCAACGTCAACAAGGTGCCATTGAAAATTGTGCCCCCAAACCACACACACAACTCTTCTTTGATCATGTTTGGCAGACTTCATCCAAATGATAGTTCGGCAACTGAGTTTGGCCATGGCAAAAGAAACACGCACTCAAACCACGGATGGTTGCCACCAGGACACGCAGATGTATCGCAGCATCACACGCAGGGCAGCACCAGGACCCATCCATGTGAACCCACCCACCCCGCATCAAGAACCCCGTCAAGAAAACATTGTGTCAATGCGTCAAACGGCGCGAGGGCAAGGAACGGATGCAAGTGACCCCTTTGCAAAACTGATTTTGCACATGTCATCCTTTAGACATCAAGGAAAACTCTTGCTCTGTGACTCGGCTTGCCTGTTTTCCTCTAAATTTGATCCATAAGCTGGGGTTTGGTTGGTTGGGCCACGGCAACCGTTGTGCGCTTGGGGCATAACTAAATATGTCCACAAGAAGTCTGGCATCTACTGGAACGATTGGTGCAGCAAAAATGCGGAATGCAAAACAACCAAGGCTGAAGCCAAGCTTGCGAAGCATGCAATATCAAAAGCGGCGACCATCAAAACGAACCAAACAAAAAAAGAACCTGATAAAAGCCACGGACACCAATGCAAAACACGGCCTTGGAATATGCATTTCGTCAACTCGAGCAATGTTGTCCAACTGGAGCCATGCTTCAAGCGACGCTTCTAAGCTTCTCACTGACCGTTCAACCGACACCACTGAACATTTCTCAACGCATTCAAAAAGAGAGAACCAAGAAACCCAGCGCGGCAAAGACGGGCAGGAGGCCTTGAACTCGACTTCGCTCTTCCACCCAAGGCCTGCAGTCCACCGACTTTTCTCGGTCAGCTCGGGTACCAACGCCAGAAGTGTGCTCAGGTAGCTTCCGGGCTGCGCCCATATGATTGGCGACCTTCCGTTGATTCGAGATGATTCAATATTGTCTCAACAATGGCCTGGGTTCCTGTCAAATCGGTCTTTTCCTGAGAAAATCAGACCCTGGAATTCCGATTTGACAGGGCGTCAAAACCTCAAAAGTGTCAAAAGCATGAAATGGTGCCTCGTGGCTGTTTTTTTCCCAAAGTGACATAGAGCCAAGTTACATGGAGCCAAGTTGCATTGCACAGGCCAAGTGCCACAAAGCCAAGTGGCACCATGCGCCGCACAAGTCTATGTCAAGGTCTCAAGCTTTGCGACACTGGCGTCCGTTTTTGCGGCCTTTGGGAGACTTTGTGTTCGTCGGGCTTTGCGGACGTTTGATTTGAGGTTGTGCTCTGTGAAAGAACACTTGCATCCTTGGAACGCATCGCTCAAAGCTTGCTGCTGCAGCAGTCTTTCCAGATCCACACCCGCGGCAAGAAGTTGCGGCCACTCCTTCCCGTAGCTCCTCCAATTCGATACCGCGTCACTACGCAATATTTAAACCGCCAGCCTCCAGGAAAGGGCAACGAACAAAAGACACGGCATGCTCGAGACACAGCAAAGCAAATTAGTTGTTACTTGGGCTTCTCAACCTCCGCCACGGCCTCCGCCGCGGCATGCAGCCTGCGCTAGAAGAAGCTCAGAAACATGCATCATCTGGAACTGCCAGAAGCCGTCTCTGCTCACACGTCTTTCGAGTCTTTAGTGCGCCCAAGACCAGTCTTTGAAACATGTTCTAATGTGATCCAAAGCTTTGGAGGCTGGAACCAAGAGCTGCGCGCTATCGCAGCGCCTTGGCAGAGGCTTCGCTTTGCTACGCGCGCTTCTCCATATCTTGTAGCAGTGTACGTAGCATCTAGCAGAGCTTGGGCCCTGTTGCTTCACAACACACGTCCATGCGCTCAATCCTTCGCAACTTGGCGAACTTTGCACTGGCCAGGGAGGAAAGAACTCTGCAAAGATTGCAGAACATCACGCCCAGCAAAAACAGCTAGGGGTGGTCGCATCGCAGCGCCCTCCGCCTCCGCCGAGTGAGCCGGCCCGCAGGGGAGCACCTTTTTGGTGAGAACCGGCCTGTCACGCCACAGTGTTGGAACAGGCCTTGATGCTCTGAGTTTTCAAACTGCCAGACCTTCACGTTATTTGCGTTGACAGGATCGGATCGGCTCTGCCAGCGCCACTGACCGACGCTGGCCGCCACAATCCAGCAGCACGTCTAGTAGTAAGGAACATAGGCCTATAGGGACCAATTAATTTGGCCCGAAAAAGCTGCCAAAACAGCCTTATTTCCATCCCGCCGACGGGGCTGTTCTGGCGCGAGGACCTGCGCAAGGCGAGGCGGCAGCTTATGCCGTCGGCGAGAGCCCCAACATGGCCATCAGCAGCCCTGCGCAGACTGCGGGCTTAGGCTGAGGCGGGGCACGAGGATCCAAGAGCTGCCGGAGGAGCACGAGGTGCTGCGGCGCTGGCGCAAGGGGCTGGGGCAGGAGTTGTGGGCGCGCAGCACGGAGGTGGTCTACAGCGTGCAGCAGCAGCAGCAAGCTGGACGGGGCGGGCGCGGACTTCTTACAGGCCTTTGCCTACGAGGGGGGCATGGTGTGGAACTTTGTCGCTGCTGAGCAACGGCACCTACCGCCCCATCCACGACGCGGTTCTTGGCTTCGAGCACTGCACGGTGGCCAAGGCCCGGCGCATCCTGGACGCGCCGCTGCGCTACCTCGCGCAGGTGAAGACGGACTGCCTGCTGACGCAGCGGCTGCCAAAGCGCTTCACGGAGCGGCTGCGGGCGCTTGAGGCGCTGCGCCACCCGGACGGCACGCCGGTCTACCGCATAGAAGAGACGAACGGGTTGGCGTGTAAGCCATATAGTACATAAAGCACATATAGCAAGAAGTCGGGGGACTGTGGGGGCTTCCACAGGTTGGCGTGTAAGATCGCAAGGAGCCGGGGGACTGTGGGGGTTCGCGGCTTGGCGTGTGAGAGGTTGGCGTACACGCCTCAAGGCCGTTTTTGGATCAATGCCCGAGTGTGACCAATTTGAGGGGGTTGTTTCGGTCTGCTACTCAGTTTGCATTGCGGGGGTACTCAGACTGCATTGTGAGAATCGAAAGGCTCAAACTGACTTGTGAAGTCTCAGAAAGACTTGCGAGTCTCAAACTGCATTGTGAGGGTTCTCGGACTGGCTTGTGCAAAGCATCGAACTGGCTTGCGAGCGTCAGACTGGCTTGTGCAAGTTGTCAGACTGGCTTGTGACCCGCGGCAGACGATGGAAGCATCAGACTGGCTTGTTGAAAAAGAATGAAGAAAAAAACAAGACGAGGTCAACTTGTGGTAGGGTTTGAGGCGAACTTTCGGAAATGTTGTTTCACGCCGCGCAGCTCGACTCAAACAAATCAAATTGACCATCCTCATCTTCATCACCATCACCATCCTCATCATCCTCATCATCATCATCATCATCACATTCATCATCCTCCTCATCATCATCATCATCGAATCACCACCAATCATTACCGCAGTCACCATCATCATCGTCATCATCATTACTATCATCGCTATCATCATCATCGCAATCCTCATCATCATCATCAGCGCCATCATCATCTTCGCCATCACAATCATCATCATCGCCGTCCTCATCGCAATCATCATCATCATGACCATCATCATCATCATCATCACCATCCTCATCGTCATCATCATCCTCCTCATCACCATCATCATCCACATCACCATTCATCATCATCTTCGCCATCATCTTCCTCACGATGCTCATCACCATGCTCATCATCACCACCATCCTCATCATCTTCCTCACCATCGCCATCCTCATCATCATCAGCACCGTCGTCCCCATCATCATCGCCATCATCATCATCGCCATCCTCATCACAACACCATCATCATCATCACCATCCTCACCAGCGCCATCATCACATCATCGCAATCCTCATCATCCTCATCACAATCGCCACCTTCACCGTCATCAGCATCACCAGCATCATCATCATCATCGCCACCTTCATACTCACCGTCATCACCATCATCACCATCCTCATCTTCGTCGTCGCAATCACCACCTCCCCATCATCATCATCATCATCACCATCGTCATCAACACATCACATTCCTCATCATCACCAACATCATCACCATCACCATCATCACCGCGTGACCATCGTCATCATGATCATCATCACCATCATCATCATCAACATCATCATCTTCACCGCGATCCTCATCATCACAACCATCATCATCATCATCATCGCCGCCCTCATCGCAATCATCACTGTCACTGTCAAGACCATCATCATCGTCATCATCACCATCATCATCACCATCTTTATCGTCATCATCCTCCTCCTCATCACCATCATCATCACCATCCTCTTCAGCATCATCATCATCATTACCAGCATCATCATCATCACCATCATCTTCCTCACCATCATCATCATCATCATCATCATGATCATCATGATCATCATCGTCATCGCCATCATCATCACAATCATCATCATCATCATCATCATCATCGTCGTCATAATCATCATCACCATCATCAACATCATCACCATCATCATCATCATCACCGTCACCATCCTCATCGTCATCATCATCATCACCATCCTTCTTATGATCATTACCATCATCTTCCTCACCATCATCATCATCACCATCCTCATCATCATCATCACCATCATCTTCCTCACCAAACGCGGTGTGGTGCTGGACGCAAGCCAGTCTGATGCTTGAACAAGCCAGTCTGACGCTTGAACAAGTCAGTCTGATGCTTGAACAAGCCAGTCTGACGCTTCCACAAGCCAGTCTGATGCTTCACAAGCTCATTTGATGCCTTGCAAGCATAACAAGTCAATCCGATGCCTGTCACAAGTCTGTTTGAGTAGCAGCCCGGTTGTTTCAGGCTTGTTCTTGGGTCCGCGGCCGCTGGCAGGTTTTGCTTCACGAGGAGGGGCGCTGAGGCAACGCCGCGCAGAGCTGAGGCGCGAGGCTGCGAAGGCGCAGAAGATTCTGGCGAAGAAGCAGGCCGTTGGTGGGTTTGCACTGTTCGTGTTGTTGTTGCAGTTGTTCTTGCAGGCGGCCAAGAATCTCAGCCAAGATGATTTGCGGTTGCTGCTGCGTGCCGCAGTGGAATGCCGGTTTGGATTGGCTGCGAATCGTTGCGTGTTGCTTTCTTCGAGGCGGGGAAGCGCAGGCCAGAGTAGTAAGGAACATAGGCTTATAGGGACCTAATTATTTTGGTTTTTTGGTCGAAAAACCCTGCAAAACAGCCAAATTCTCCATCCTGCTGAACGTTTTTCCGATGTCACCGGTCTTTGTCACCGCGTTTTTGGTCGAAAAAGTGCTCAAAACGGCCAACTCCGAAAAGTTTGTTTTTTCGTGTCAGACGGCAAGCGAGGTGCCTCAGCCTCTAGATTCGCTCGTTTTCGGTCGAAAACAGCTCCAGACGCTCTCGCAGCTCTCGATTTCCGTTTTTTGCCCGGAAAAGCAGGCAATTTCCATCCCGCTGAGCTTGTCACCACTTGTCACCGCTTCGTCACCGCTCTCTTTTAGGCCGAAAAAGTGCGCAAAAGCGGCCAAGTTCCCGAGTTTGAGGGGACTTCGTTCTTCACAGGGTTTTCCGTTTTTCGCCCAAGCACGACAGCCTGCCGAGGTCCTCGCTCGTGACATGGCAACCTGCCGAACTTGTCGCCGCCTTCGTCACCGGGTCTGGCGCGGCAACCTGCCGAATGCATGTGTCGCCTAATACGCCAATCTGCAGAACGCCTTTGTCACCGGGTCTAACACGCCAACCTGCCGAACTTCCAGGCCTCGAAAATCGCGAGTTTGAGTCAATATTGAAACAGCTTGAAACAATATTGCTTCATTAATGCGCAACGGTTGCCCGGTCGCGGCGGGAATCGAGCCCCGGACCAGCATGGTGCAGAGATAGCGCTCTAACCACTGAGACAAGGGAGCTGCTAGCGCTTGAGCCCGCCGAGGTGTCCCACGGTCCGTGTCGCCCCGTGACACAAGCTTTCGTACTCGGAAAAGCGAGGCCGGCTCCGCGGCTTCGGTCTGAAAGCGAGGCCGGCTCCGCGGCTTCGGTCTGAAAGCGAGGCCGGCTCCGCGGCTTCGGCCGGCTTCGGTTTAAAAGCGAGGCCGGAATTCCATCCACCGAGGTCGGAATTCCGACTTCACTCCAAGCTTCCGATTTTGCCCGAAAAACCCTGGTGCGGGCCTGGTGCGGGCCTGGTGCGGGCCTGGCGCGGGCCTGGTGCGGGCCTGGTGCGGGCCACTGCCGCAGCGCCGAAGGTCTGTCAGCGACCTGCTTCTCGCCAGGTCGCTGACAGAGTCGCCTTGCCGTCAGTCCTGTCGCCAACGCAGGATTGGTCCACTCAATCCTGTCGCCAGCGCAGGATTGCTCCACTCAATCCTGTCGCCAGCGCAGGATTGCTCCACTCAATCCTGTCGCCAGCGCAGGATTGCTCCACCCACTCCTGCGCTGACAACAGGATTGCCCCGATGCAGCACCAGCAGCTCGGGCTTGGAACTGTTCTTGCCCGAGCAGGCTCATAATGGAGCTCCCAGGCCTCTGGCACGTCGTTGATGCTCAGGACGAAGGGCAGGCCGCTCGCGAAGAGTGCGTCTCGGAGCTCCGAGTGGACGGGCAGGTCGTGCCCCCGCCCCTTCGTACCATAGTAGTTCATGGCGGTGCGGCCGGGGAAGATGTAGGGAGGGTCGGCGTAGATGCACTGCCGGGGCGCCAGGCAGGGCAGAGCGCGCAGATAGGCCAGTGCGTCCTGATGCCGCACGGTCACATTTGTCGGCGGCCGTTGCGCTGCTCAGCGCCAGCGCCCGCTGCTGTGCGAAGGAGCCCCACTTTCCCGAGAAGCTGTTGCGCAGCAGGGTGTATGAGCAGGCAGCCCGTCGCCCGGCACGGCCTCTGAGCGCCCGGCAGGAGGTGCCTGAAGTAGAAACGCCTGTCCACCTTGCGCCCCACCAGGCGCAGCAAGGAGCGCAGGAAGACCGGGTCTTGCCTCAAGTAGCAGCGCTGCAGGTTTGCGACTGGCTCGAAGGTGTCGACGCCGCGCACCTCCAGGCCTGGGCGCCGGGCGGCAAGGTAGTACTCCAGCTTGCCGGAACCGAAGAAGGGCGAATGCAGTACAGTGACGTCGCCCAGCAGCCGGTCCAGGTGTGGAGCCAGCCACGCCTTGCTTCCCATGTATTTCAGACGCATGCCGGCCTTTAGTTTTATCCCAGAATTCCGGCAGCGATGCTGTAAATACCGCATCACACCCGGTCTCGCCGCCCGGCTTCCCGGCTTCGAATTTGGGAAGTAAGGCAAAAGGACGAATGGGGAAGATCAAGCTGTTTCCTACGACAGAGTATACCAGTAAGCAGCCCTCGGACCCCGTGGTGCCCCTGGTGCCATGCACGGGCATCTTCCTCGGGCCTTCCAAAGCGGGCAAGACCGTGGCTCTGATCAGCATGATTCTGGAGCAGTATCGTGGCGTCTTTGAGAAAATCTACATCTTCAGCCCTTCCATCAACATAGACGACAGCTGGATCCCCGTCAAGAAGTACATCGAGGAGGGCCTGGGGGTGAACACGGAGCGCGAGCAGGCCTACTACGACGAGTGGGACGAGGCGGCGCTACGGAGCATCATCCAGAGGCAGCGCAAGATCACCGAGACGTCCAAGAAGTTGGAGATGAAGAAACTGTACCAGGTGCTGATTAGCCCGCAGCTCCACAAGGCCCACGGCGCCCTTGACACGCTCTTCATCCGAGGCCGGCACATGCAAATCAGCACCTGGGTGAGCTCCCAGAAGCTGAGGCTCATCAGCGCAGCCGTGCGGGTCAACATGCAATTCCTAGGCTGCGCAACCAGCACGAGCTGGACGCGTCATCGAAGAGCTCAGCGCCATGCTGCCGAAGGACAAGCTGCACAGGATGTATGAGCAGGCGACCCGGGAACCCTATAGTTTCCTCTTCGTCTACTACCTGAAGCCGAAGAACCAAATGTTCTACAAGCGCTTCGAAGAGCGATTCGCGCTTGAAAAAGACGCCGATGGGAGCGGCGCTCAGCTTCCTGGAAGCTGTTCGCCAGCTCCACTCTAATCAACGCAAGGTGTGAGAACATCTCCGCTGCACTTCCGTCGCAGCCGTCCAGTCCCCCATCATCCGTCGAACGGGCGGCTTCCTAAAGAAAAGGATGACGACCATCTACGTGGACAGCCGCAAGAGGGTGGCCGGCTCGAACAGCGACTTCGAGGTCGACCTGGGGCCAGGCTGGCCGTCTACAAGATCAGAATCGCGGATAGCTTCCTCTCGACAGACCGAGGCCGGCACCTCTACTGGGTCGACGCCGCGCGTGGGACGCTGAACTGGGCGCTGCGACCCGAGGGCGCCTACGGGCGCCCGCCTGGATCAGCTCCAACTTCGCCACTGCCACCTACAACGAGACCACGAACAGCCTGAGCGTCGCCTACAACGGCAACCGGCATTCTGAACAACCTTGCAGCAGCAATTCCCCGCCGCGGTGGACTACCCCACCTTGCCGGCCGCCTGACCAAGCCCTTCAGCGTCGACCACATGCTCGGCCCGAGCTTCGTCTCCGGCGGGCAGCAGGTCTTCGAGTTTGTCAGGATGATGGCATACAGCAAGGTCTACCTGCGCTGCGCCCAGCTGGCCAACGCCAGTCGCGTGATCCTGTCCAAGATCACACTCAAAACCGGCGTGGGCACCATCGTGGAGACAGGCTCCGACGATGGGCACTCCTGAGAGGCCCCGTCACGCTGAGACACATGCGCTTTCGACTGACCGACCTGGAACGGCAGGTCTTTACAAAAAATATTTCCTATTAAAAACCCGATGAAGCAAGCGCAACCGGCGCCAAGGCCAAGAGGCCCCCGGGCAGCAAGAACAAGCTTAAGCCGCTGCGAGCAGCCCCAGCCAAAGAGCAAAAAAACGATCCCAGACCCACCAGAGCCAGTGCACGAATACCCTTCCAGCCAACACTCCCCCCGCCCAAGCCCAAGGCACCCGGCAGCACCCAAGGCAGCACCCATGTCCAAATCAGCGCCCAAGCCCAAGGCAGCGCCCAAGCCCAAGGCAGCACCCGAGGCACAGTTAAAGCCCGAGGTACAGCCCGACCCAAGGTACAGCCCGAGGACGGCCTGGCAGCCCGAAGAAGCGCCTCGGCCGAGCAAGCGCGCCATGCGCATGCTGGAGAGGCAGTCGGCCTACGACCACCTGACGGCAGGCGCGAGCGTACTTGTATAAAGGCAAGATGATGTCCATCGAGCCCCGCAACAAGCCGCAGATGCTTCGGTGGTTCCGCAAGACCTACCCCAGTTACGACCTGCAGCCGCTGCTGCTGAGGCGCCAGCGGGAACTGGAGAAGGCGCAGCGGCACCTGGACGACGTGAGCCGGCTGACGGAGGCAGTGCACCGCCAGGTACCCCACCTCCGCTTCGCGCGCGCCGAGCGCCGGGGCGTCGAACGCGCTTCGGTCCCACGGCTTCAACCAGCGCCCGCGCTTCGAGCAGGTTGTGGGCTACATCGAGCGGGGAGAGCCCTTGGTTCTGGGCCAACCGGACCGCAAGGCCGTCACGAGTCACTTCCACCTGGACGACTTCGCGCAGTCCAGCGCAGGAGGACTTGGGACGGATGTACCAAGGCTACGGAGGAACCCGCTTCGTTGAGGACGACCTTGCAGGAGACCCCAGAGGCCGACGCCTGGCAAACAACGGTCAGGGCCCGCCCTCCATCACGGGTTGTTTGCGCAGCGGCCGACGGAGCAGCAGCGGACCTTGTGGGCGCAGGAGGAGCAGGGCTTGCGGCAGCGCAGGCCTTCCGCTCCCAGCTCTTCCAAGACGCAGCCGAGTACGTGGCGGGCTGGAATTCGCAGGCTTTTCGGGGCAGAAAACGGAATTCGGAGCACGGCGAACGTCTGGAGCCGGTTTTCGGCGGAAAACGAGCGAATTTGGAGGCTCAGGCACCACTTTAGTAGTAAGGAAAGACTGCTTATACCACCCTAATTCATTTGGTTTTTTGGTCCCCAAACCCTGCAAAACAGCCAAATTTTCCAACCAGCTGAACGTTTTTCCGATGTCACCGGTCTTTGTCACCACTCCATTTTTGGTGCAAAAAGCGCTCAAAACGGTCAACTCCGAAAAGTTCGTTTTTTCGTGTCAGACGTCAAAAGTGGTGCCCGAGCCTCCAAGTTCGCTCGTTTTCCGCCGAAAACCGGCTCCAGACGTTCGCCATCCTCCGAATTCCGTTTTCTGCCCCGAAAAGCCTGCGAATTCCAGCCCGCTGAGCTCGTCACCGCTTGTCACCGCTTGTCACCACTCTCTTTTTGGGTGCAAAAGTGCGCAAAAGCGGCCGACCTCGTTCTCCGCAGGGTTTTCCGCGGCCCGACAGCCCGCCGAGGACCAGGCTCGGAGCCCGACAGCCCGCCGAGGTGGTCCGTCAGCCCGCGAGCTTGTCACCGCTGATGTCACCGCTCCGTCCGGCTCCGTTTTTGGTGCAAAAAGCGAGTCCGAAGAGTCGGACGGCGAGTGGGATGGCTGAGCCTCCAAATTCGCTCGTTTTCGGTCGAAAGCGGGCTCCAGACGACCACTTTGCTCAGGTTTCCGCTTTCGGCAGCCCGCCGAGCATGTCACCGCTTGTCACCGCTTCGTCACCGCTTCGTCACCGGTCCGAAAAGTGCGCAAAAGCGGTTCCCGAGAGGACTC